AGGGATGCTAAGGCTCATTTCTCAGCCTCCATATCAGAGATTGAAACCCTAAGAGAGAGCCTTCCATCGTCCTTAGCTTGAGTGTGTGTATTTTGGAGCTAAAAGTGTCTTGGTGTGTTAGTGAAGAAGAAGGAGAAGAGCTTGTGGAGGCTAGGGCTTGAAGTGCAAGTTTGGATCTGAGATCTTCAGAGAAAGGAGCTTCATCTAGAGGTATAAAGTTCAAAACTTTCCTCTTTATTTGGTTTAATGTTGCATGGACCATTTCTAGGGTTAAAAGTCCCAAAGGTGGAGACTTTATGAGTGTAATGTACTCCATGGACCTAGATATGTCCCATTTCAGTGATATTTGTGTTATAGATCCATAAAAATTCCATCTTGGTCGTTGTTATGAAGGTCATGCTTGAATTATGAGCTTTCTAGAGTTGGGAAATGGAATGTTATGGGTGTTAGTGACTTGTCCACCCATGCACAGGCTTAAAGTCACCAACTTTATGGATTAAGAGGTTTAGAAATGGTCAGATCTAGAAGTTAGACGTGGGACTTAACTGTTTAAGACCTCAAGAGCTTAGAGTCTGAAACTGGGAGTTACGCGGGGCGTAATCCCAGTACGCGCGCGTAAGGGGTCGTGCACCCCGTTTCTGTGAGGTCGTCGGGTACGCCCAGCGTACAGGTTCGGTACGCGCAGCGTAACCCTGAGAGTTGGCTTTTGTTGACTTTTAGGGTTTGGTTAACATTTGGGTCTTTGAGCCATGAGAGGGGTAAAATGGTCTTTTACCCTTCTGAGAGTGCTAAGAGAGGGAACAGTCTAGCCTTGAGAGTTGTATTGATTAGAGTGCTTATTCCGTGTGATTAGGCGGAGGCTAGGGCAGATTTTACCGAGTTCGAGATTACCGAGTTACCCGAGGTGAGTCTTCTCACTATACTGTACCTGGAAGGGTACTTATGTGTGACCGGAAGGTCTTGTATGCTATGAGATGTATATGCTATATGCGGTTATGTGATATGTATGTGCTATGTATGTTATGTATGGTATGGACCGGAAGGTCAAGATGATATGGACCGGAAGGTCAAGAGGTTACGGACCGGAAGGTCCATACGGGTAGGACCAGAAGGTCTACCGGGATTTGGGACGGAAGTCCCTGAGACACATGGATCGAAAGATCCTACAGAGTTATGGCCTGGAAAGGCATATGTGTGGTATGTGGTATTTTGGGGAACTCGCTAAGCATTTATGCTTACAGTTGTTGTGTTATGTGTTTCAGGTACTAGCGAGGATCGCGGGAAGGCGCCGGCATGATCCGTACACACTTATGGAGTTTATGTTATTCAGATTCTGGGGACATGCTTTGTTATGACATAGTGATACATTATGTTTTGTGATTTTTCATGTGATTGAAAGTATGATTTAAAAATGAAAAATTGTTTTGTAAAATTACGTCGTTACAATATTAATTTTCGCCAAACTCTTCTTGCCATCATACCCAAGCTCTTCAAGACTATGAAGAAAACCACCGTTACTCAACCGAAGTGATCTCTCGCCTCAATTGGCGCAAAGGGGGAGATTGTTGAGTCTATGGGTTGCACCATTGGCTTCGGTAGTATAGTACAATATATTCACGGTTTGGGCCTGTCCAACCATGTGTTTGAATTTAAGGTTTAGTATTTATGGTGCATGCATGCATCACATTAGTTACGCTTCTTGATTATTTTGTTTAACAAGTATTGTAACCCTAACACACCTCTAAAGTAGAAGTTCTTCATCGAGCTCTTCTGAGGTGTTGTTGTTTTAATCACTCGACATCCGTTTGATTCATTGTGTGTTTGTTCTTTGGTTGGCTTTCTGTTTTATTTGTTGAGAATCTTATCGATCTAAAAGAGTTTTAACTCATCAAAAAACATTAATGTATTTGAAGAGATTTGTGATTTAAATATGAAAAGTTAATAAATGTTTTAGTGTTTTTGTATTTTAATACAAATGTTATAATAGATGTTTTTGTATTTTTATGTTACTAAAAGTTGTAGTTCATATTTTGTTCATATATTTTGTTACCCGTTATATATAGATTATCATACGTTTGATATATAATTTACACAGTTTTAAACGCTTTATAAAATTATCAAATAATTGTATATATCATAATGACTTAAAAATTAAAATTATAATCATCATATCATATCATACTATATTATAAAGGAAACATTTTTTCTTTCACCACATTCATTTGAAACTCCCCACTTTTCATATTTCCATACAATATGCTTAATTTATTAACCTAAATATGCTTTTAGTTGTAAACATTATCATAAATGGAAGAATTTGTGACTTATCAATATGATATACTTAATTTGTTAACTTCAATATATAGTTAAATAAATAACATACATTAATATATCAAATAAGCTTAAAAATTTAGTGTAAAATTTAAAACCTAAAGTAAAATATCAAATAATGTTTAAAAAAAATTCAATATATATTTTTTAACATAGTTAAAAGGAAAACATTAAAATATAATAATAATAAAAGAACCTAAATTGATGAATCGAATTAACTAAAAGGTGTCTGAAAACTATATTCTAACAATATATTTTTAACCTGCGTCGCTCAACGCGCGGGAATTCGTCTAGTATACTTATAAGGAAACATTTTTCTTTCACACACTCATTTGAAACTACATGACCCATGACTTTCAATTTCTTCCTAATAAAATTATAAGTTGGTTAATAAGGGTTAAATAAATATCAAACCTAAAGTGTAATCAGATATAACTAAATTTCAATATTAAAATAATATTTTTACTTCTAGTTATAAAGTTATGTTTTTTAACTTTTAACATATTATACTTAATTTATTAGTTTTAATATATTGTTGGATGTAAACCATTATCATTTTAAAGATATAATTTTGGAACAATTTCTATAAAATACTTAAATTATTAATTTAAATAAAACAATACAGGGTCAACTTAAATATAAATTTTAGTTTAACTTAAATAACCCAAAAAAATATTTTGTAAATAGCTAAAAGTGATAAATTGTTGTATCTTTCTAATAATGATTATAAGTTGGTTAATAAGGTTAAATCAATATCAAACCTAAAATGTAATCATAAATAAACTAAATTTCAATTTTAAAATAATATATTTACTCATACTTATAAAGTTATGTCTTTAACTTTTAACATATTATACTTAATTTTATTAGATTTAAAATGTTGTTGTATGTAAACCATTATCAGTTTAAAGCTACAACTTTTTAACAGTTTGGAGAAAATACTTAAATTGTTAATTTAAATATAACATTACAGTGTCAACTAAATGTAACTTTCAGTTCCACTTAAAAAACCAAATAATATTTTGTAAATAGTTAAAAGTGATCAATTATAGTGATAAATGCAAAAACTAAATTGTAATCTCAATTATTTCCTAAAAATATTTTTATAATCGTTAAAAGTTTTCAAATAAGTAGCTTAAAATAACTTACAATAACAATGGTCAAAAATAACTCTATATGAATGAGTATATTGTTACGTTTAAAATCAAAAAAACAATGTTTGATCTTTTAAATAATTATAATGATAGAAATTAAAACATTAAGCAAATAAATTTTAATAAATTAATTAACAATTACAACAACTATAAATAACATTAAACCATATATTACATTTAATTTTATTTATGTGTAACTCGCGGGTAGAAGTCAATCAAACGATTGAGATTATGCAGTTATAATAGATGTATATATTATAATATAATTTAAATATAACAATAACGTTGTTAAATATTATATAATAATTTGTATACTAAATTGATATAATTTAAAATAATAAATATATTATATCAATTTAGTATACGAATTATTATATCATATTTAACAATAATTTTATTGTTATATTTAAAAAAAACATATATTTGTATAAACTTCAACTATATAAGTGTTTATGCGCAACGCGCGGGCATTCGCCTAGTATATATATATATATATATATATATATATATATATATAATATATATATATATATATATATATATATATATATATATATAATATATATATATATATATATTAAAACCGTAAGGTTCATTTGGGTAGCGATATTAAAGGGAAAATACCGACTATAATCAAATTTTGGGGGGTAATTTCAAATTTGAGACATGAAAAGGGACATTTCCGGGTATAGACATACATTCCGCGAAGGACCCTCTGTGGACCTTCACAGAATGAAGATTCCTCCGCGGAGAGGGGTACTTTCGTAATTTCACCCTCTCCTCTTTGACAAAAACGGTTCCCCCTCTTTGGTCCCCTACTGGTCCCCGATTCCTCTTCGACTTTGAACGTCTCTCCGTATCGGTCCCCTCTTTGGTCCCCCACCGTGTATTTCGATCTTTTTCTGGCGACGACTTCAATCCCGGCGACAACGACATCAAATGACGTCATTTTCCGGCGTAATTGACGTGAAACAGTAAAGTCGGCACCGATGGATCGCAATTTCCCCGATATTTTTGCCGATGGATACGGCTCACGGGTATTTCTCACATTCCCCTCTTTTGAGTAATGTCGTATTTATGATTCAAATCTTACGAAAATCCGATTGATTACCATGAATATATATACAGATTTAGATTTGGGATTTTGTAGATGTTAGGATTAACAGAGAGTCGATTTTGGGAAGATCCATTACGCGGAGAGGTGCGTCATTCCGCAGCGGATCCTCCACAGAATGATGTATCTCTCCGCGGAATGAGTTAAACACCCAAAAATTGAGTCTCTGCGGAGATGTAGGTCACTCCGTAGAAGGGTCTCCGCAGAATGACCTCTAGCCTCCGCGGAATGACGTGAAAATATAGCTTTTTCCAAAAAAAAATTGCCCTTTCATATGAGGTATTTATTATTATATAAAAAGTATGTTGCTATTTATTTCATAAACAGAATTAGAAAAGTAATTTTGAAACCTTGTTTTTTATTTTCAATTACTAACGTTTTATATGAAATTAAATGTATATTTTTGTAGCACGATGATCTCAATCAAAAAGCAGATTTAACCTTAAAAGGCGTGGTGGGTACGATCATTAAAGATTATTTTCCGCGCCTACACAATCACAACGACTGTTATTTGAAGCTTCGCCATTTGGAAAATTCTTAGGAATGCATATCTCACATGGTGACCCCTTACTTGTGCATTTGATGATGTTGCATGAAGTAAGGTCTCAACAAGTGTTTGAAATGAGGAGGTTTCTTTTTGAGATAGAGGGGATTCAGTTGGATTTTGGTGAAACTGAATATATTCTGATTTGTGGTTTAAAAGTTGGTCCTTATGTGGATTTACTCCATGAAAAAAAGGTCGGTCAAATTCAAATCTTCGTGCTCGGTTGTTCCCAGACATTTCTGATGCACGTTTGCGACTGAAAGATTTAGAAGATTACATTATGTCTCCGAATTATTTGTCATTTCAGGATGAAGATGATGTAATGCTTATCCAACTTGTTTTTATGTTGAAAGGTCTCCACGGACGACGAGACGTTAAAACGGACATTCCCACGGCAGTATACAAGCTTGCTGATAATATAGATGATTGGAACAGGTATTACATTTACATATTGTGTATAAATACAATAATAATTATTATAATAAAATAAATTGAAAATTGCAGGTTTGCACGGGGTACGTATTTCTAGACCTATACTTCGGGCTTGATGCGTGGAATGTTTGAGAAAATAGAAAAACTATTCAAGCAGGCCAATCCCGAATCCAAGAAAGTACACAAGTATACCGTTGTCGGTTTTATGTTTCCGTTTAAGGTTAGTTTGTAATGAATTTAAATAGTTATCATACTTTTATTTTTTATACGATAATAACATTGAACTTCGGTTTGTAGTATATAATACCGTTGTATTTTCATTTTTATATTATAATAGCATGATATTTACCTTTTTCCATAGATATGGATTTTGGAGACGTTCCCAGAGGCAACCCAGTTTTATTTACGCATGCCGACAGAATTGCCACGGATGAGGTCGTGGAGAAGTAAAACACTGTTATCTTGGCTTCAATGTCGTCGAATAATCAATGTGTATGTGGTATGCTTTTTATATTAAGGATTATATATAATTACAAATTCCAATGTTTTTTCATGTTAAACTAACAATCTGATTTTTGCAGCCTAACAACCAACCTATTTCTGTCGTGGCAAACCCAACGGAGCTGATGTTGTCGTTTTATATTCGCTACATCAATTGGACTCTTAACCATGAAGAGTCTCCCCCACGGCAACATTATCCGGTCCCAGATAGTCCACCTATTGTTGTCTCGCCTCCTCGAAGAAAGAAGTACAAGTCAGAAACATATTCGACTGAATCTGCCACAAATGCTTCTTCCTCGCAACAGCCTGTAGTAGAAAGAACTTATATGTCAAGCGACACATCAAAAAGGTCGGTAAATAAGAAGAATAAGAAGAAGACGAACACAAAGGCATTAGTGAAGCGTCTACTAGGCGTTGTGGCTGACTTAACTTCTAAAGTAGACCGTGTATTACAGAAAAAAGATGAACCACATACAGGGTTTGGAGAAGAGGAGGAGATGGTAAATGAAGAGGAGGAAGAACCATTTTACCATGGTACACATTTGGACTATGATGATATATCTACTCATGGTTTGGAGGGGGAAGTTGCGCGTACACCTATGCATGTTGAGCCGTCACCGGACGTGGGTGAACATCACAAAAAAACAGTGACTCCTATTGTTAGGCTGCAACGAAAGAGGGGTGTTGCATGGTATCAGCGGACGCCGTTCACAGTGGTACAAAACTCATATTTTAAATTTGGTGTATTTATAAAATATTATGTTATTGATAATTATTTAACATGTTAATTTTTTAGATGCAATCCACACCAAAATTGAAGAAAATCACCAAAACAAAGAGAAAAAGCAGTGGAGAGTCCTGAAAAAGCAAACGAAGACATTGTGAATGAAGAGAGTAATGACGTTTCAAATCATCTCCTGTTGGAGAGTCTTCATGTTGCTAGTACATTGAGTTTTTGGAAAGAATGGAATATGATATCTTCCAACCTCAACACTAAAGACAGGCTGCATATACTCCCACTGGATGTGGAGTTTTGGTCGAGGTTACTTGCAGTTACTGACTGTGGGTGGTTAATTTCTTCGGTAATATTCATTAAATTTTAATTATTTTTCGACGATAATTTATATAAATAGTTGTAACATTTTTATCTTAAAATATACAGCATATTGCGATATGAAGTGCCTTGCTCATGGAAAGACGGCTGGCGAACGCAAGGTGGACGATATACCCTCAAGAACTCAATTTGCAATCCGGAAAATCATTTTTTTAGGAATGTAGCAAATGGTGTTGTAGGTTATCCTAAATGGAAGGTTGTGGATATGGTTAGTCCTACATTTAAATACCTGGAAAGTATACATTAATAATTATTTATTTATATATATATAATATTACTAAATTTATGAGTATTTAAATTTTTTTGTTTGCAGGTTCTATTCCCTATAAACGTTCTTGGTGCCCATTGGTTTTTGGCAGTGCTACATTTAAATACCTGGAAAGTACAGATTTATGATTTAGCACGATCTATGAATTACTTCTCAAAGTACTTGACTGATGGAGGATTCACAAGTTTTAAGGATAGTATTATCTCAGAGCTAGATGTGATTTAATACTGGAACGATTTCCCCGATGGACACAAAGCCAAGGCAACTATTCAGTTTGTTGATACTATAGACGCGCCACAGCAGGAATATATTTTAAATAGAGGGGATTGTGGAGTATTCGTATGCATGTTTATGGAAATGATTTTTTCAGGGGTACCGGTGAAGATTGATAAGCCACGTAGAGATGCGGGATTTCTCTACAGAAATAGGATGACAAATTTTATTTGGGATACTATATAACTTGATTTTAGGAACTTTGTATATATTAAATGAAATACCTGTTTTTAGTAATTTTGTTTAATACAAATATGTGTTTTATTTATTTTTGTTATTATATTTGTTTCATGGACTCCCAATTCACTTCCGCGGACAGTTGTTTTACTATAAAATGACTCAAAAATGTCTATCATTTCATCAAATCTATATCACTTCATCTACTTTGTATCTTTTACAATGGGTTCAAACCCATGGACCGTTGAGGAGTATTTGCTTCTAACTCGTGTATATATTAATGTCTACGAGAACAGCAGTTTGGATGATACAATGTTTTGGGTCATTTTAGCCAATACCTTCAATACTGATGCTGAAACCACCTTAGAAAACCATCGCAACACGCTTGATATAGCAGCAAAATGGTATGAATTAAAAACAGAAGTTGTGTTATTCAACGATCTTTATAAGAAGATTGATGACCCACGTGTGAATGATACTGAGGAAGACATCGTGGAGGCGGCTAAAGAAGAATACAAATCCATTAGCAACGGAGAGAGTTTTGACTATGAAGCCCCTTGGAATATTTTGAAAAATCTCCTGTATTTTTAACTAGTATTGCGGTTTGTATTGCGGTTGTATGGCTTTATTTATATGTAATATGGTTGAGTTTTTATTTGCGTTTTTATTATGTTATTTATCCTTTAATTTTTGAAACATAATGCACCAACAAATATTACGATACATTGAAACAAAAAACATTGAGTTCATCCATTTACTAACAAATAACAGAAAAAATAACATTACAAATAACATAAAACATTACAAATAAAAGAGTCATCTACATGAAAAAAGGTTTATTTTTAACGAGATTCCAAACATCTGTATACTCGAAATCATTTCCATCAAAATCGCACAGGTAATATCCGTTCACGTCTTCAAAAAGTTCTTCATTGTCTGCATTAGAGCGTCGCATTTTCTCATAATTGTAGCAACGATTGAACCATGTGACTTTAGTCTTTAAATCCATCCATTTACTAACAATATCGGGTTTTAGCCGTTCTTGTCCTTGTCCCACCTCATAGTTGAACAAAGTTATTAGGTGGGACCATTCATCACCAAAAAGGCAAATAAGGGGAGCCATTACTGGTAGACCCTCGTAAACGGTAATTCAGCAACATGTTATGACCAACACCTCTGTTGTCGTCCATGGAGATGTACCATTTATTGCAGCTGACGCATTTGACGGATTTGCTGCATTAGAAGAAGTTGGAACATTGGACGCCATTTTGTGAAAGGATCGCTTTTGTGGATAAAAGATGTGAATTTCATATAGATACAAGTTATATTATATAACAAGATAGGTTACGCGGACTGCCAATTCAGCTATGCGGACTAACAAGTCAGTTATGCGGACTGACAAATCAGTTATGCAGATTGCCAATTCAGCTATGCGGACTAACACGTCAGCTATGCAGACTATCAAGTAATCTATGAGGACTGACAAGTCAGTTACGCGGACTATCAAGTCAGCTATGCGGACTGACAAGTCAGTTATGCATACTGTCAAGTCAGTTACACAGACTGGCAACTCATTTACTTACGCGGACTGCCAATTCAGTAACTTATGCGGACTGAAAAGTCATTTCTGCGGATTGCCTAAACAGTTCTGCGGAATAATGAATACAGATTCCTTTTAAAATTGGACAACCATTTTCATTTTTGGAAGGTGTCGAAAGTTGTGAAAATGAGTTCAGTCAATGAGGTATTCAAAAAACGTTTCTCCAACCTACCAAATTTTTTTCATAATATGCAAAGAACCAATCCTAACACATGCACGTGCATTAAGAAAGATTTGTACAGTCGTTTCCAATTTTGTTTTGTGGCACAGGGATGCGTGGTATGTAATCCTTCATACTAAATATTTTGTTATTTGAAGTTCTTATATAGCTAATATTATTATCTTTACTTGCAGATTCGTACGTTTCTCATGTCTATGATACCAAGCATATTCGTTGGTCACGTACCTCTAATTGTGACATACATAACATCCATGTACATTGCGGTTGCTTTAGATGGAAATCATGAACCCCTTCTCATAGCGTTTGCTTTGGTAACCATAAACTGTGACGAGTCATGGTTATGGTTCATGAGAAGACTTAAAGAATGTTTAGGTGACAATACGGAAGTTGGTTTCATAAGCCATATATCTGATTCCATAGAATTTGCAGTTCAGAGAGTCTACCCTGATTCATATCATGGCTATTGTTGTAAAAATATAGCTGAGAAAACACGCGCTTCCACCGGAAGCAATACAGTTGTAGACCAGTTGTTTTGGAAGACTTGTAATACGTATAATATGTCTGATTTTTATGCATGTTTAAACAACTTACAAAATGAGGTGAATGGGAATGATCTTGAGTGGCTTGAAAATATTCCCATTGCAAAATGGGTACGGGCTTTTTTTCCCAAAAGTACATTTCAATGTTAAATTCATTGACACTCCCGATGTTGTCAATTGGATAAGAACAAATAGGCATGAGTTACCAATAACAACAATCATTCAAATGATCCATGACTCGATGCATGGAGTGTATGTTCAACATGCTGCATTCGGAGGTAATTATACTTTATGACATCATTTAAATGGTCAAATGATATGTTATTATACATTATGACATCATAATTTTTATTTTATGATTTAGTTAATTTCACAGGGGATTTTCATGGTCTTCTAACCCCTTATACACTTAAGGTGCTTCAAAAAAGATTTATTCACTCTGATGGTTGTAGGGTTAGGCATATTATTGGCGGCAGATATGAAGTGAGTAAGTATTTAACCATCGAATCCGTGCAATCAGACCGTGGTATTTGTAGTTACGGGAAATGGCAAAAATGCGGTATACCTTGTGAGCATGCTATAGCATCACTACAAAGGCTTGAAATTGAAGAAATCCATCAAATGGTCAATTTGAAGTTAAGTATCGCGGTGTATCGAAATGGTTTTCAAACTGAGACAGTCAATCCTATTCCAATCCTTATGCATTGGGAAACACCAGTTGAAAGTGTTGTCGTCTTACCTCCACGACAATTTACTTGAACTGTAATGTATGAATGACAACGAATATTTGTTTGTATTCAGTTCTATGTTAACCTTAGTTTTGGTCCGTTGGCGTTGTTTAGTTTTTAATAAATAATTTTTACCTTTTAATAAATAATTATAATGTATGGATGACAGCGAATTCATAAACAACTATGTGGACTAACAAACAGCTCTACTGTCACACCCCCAAACCAAGGATGGCGGAAACGTCCGGGGGTGGAGGACTTCATGTATAGTATCATAACAACAATTGTAATAGTAATTCAAGCAAACCCAACCAACATATATATAATTGAAAAAGTTACATCATTGTATGAATTACATGTTTACGAATCAATTACATTATGTTGACAAAATATGAAATAGTAGACGCCTTAGCGTCCTATCCTCAAATGCACTTGGTTACCTGTTTAATGATTTCCTGAGAATACAAGTTGTTTGAAAAAGTGTCAACACAAGGGTTGGTGAGTTCATAAGCTTTTGTTTGGTATTATTAAAAGCCTTTCGTTTGTAAAAGTAGTATTTGTGTTAGAAAATCCAATATTTTCCTTAATGTCTAAATGTAGTCTTAAAACCCAAAGACCGAAATGTACAAGTAATTTGTCATATTTATAGTAAAACAATGCAAGTTTAAATCGACATAAACTCGTTAAATTTTAATGAAGTTCCCGTAAATTCCAATGTTTATTAATACTTTATATGAGTTTATTATAACCATACTATGACCAAGGTTGCCTAAAACGACGTTCTTCAGGCGTCGGAAATGTTATGACATTTGTCACCCCAGACCTATCGGTCTAACTGTTGCATGCAGTTTAGGTGTGGGTTTGTCAAACCCAATATAGATCTATACACAACTATCACGCTCTCCCTCAAGGAGACTCTGGTTACAATACATGACTTAATGGTAATTTGAAGTAAATGTCTCACAAAGTCATTAACGGAATTACGTGTTATGAAAACTTGGTACCGTATGGCCGTACCTTGCTTAATGAAAATATCCTTTGTATAAATGTACCCTTTTTAAATGTATGTGTCATGTAATGTCTCACAGAAGTCATTAACGGAATTACGTGTTATGAAAACTTGGTACCGTATGGCCGTACCTTGCTTAATGAAAATATCCTTTGTATAAATGTACCCTTTTTAAATGTATGTGTTATGTAATGTTTCATAAAGTATACCTATTATAGTTTATCAACCAAGGGTAGTACGTAGTAATGTATGCAAACTATATTCAAAATAGTTTATTAAATGTTTGAATGTATCGGTTGTACTTTGATTATAATCACTTGTTATTCTTTATATTTTATATGTCCAAATCCATTTGTAAACTGATGTGTGTCTAAATATTAAGATAAAATGTCATATATTGCAATAACATATAATCACATAAAGATATACACCTTGCTCAACATGTTACAAGGTGAAATGAAATTGACAGCAACTTTTTATTGTATACAGTTTCTGTTACTGTTCTTAGAAAATTTATACAAAAATCATCAAAGCTCCAAATCCAAATCCACAAATTCTGAGAGTTTGGAATATGAGTCTAGTTTGTTCGTAAATTTTATCATGATTTTTAGTGATCTCTAACAGAAGTGAAAATGTTCATAATCACAGACTGGTCCGGGTTTGCCTCTGAAATGATAGGCAGTTTTGTAAAAATCACCATAAATTGTAGAAAAATCATATGGAGATGTGCAAGTAGCCATTTTAAAGCTAAGAGTTTGAACTACTTGCACCTAGAACAGTTTTGAAAACTAAAATATTTAAGTTGACCAAAACAGTCCGTGATCGAAGTTCATCTTTTCTGATGTAATCTAATAGAAAAAGTTTAATTGTGTTCTTGATGATTTTACTTGTATTCCCCCCTTAAAACTTAAGAAAAACATGTAAATGTAAGGGTATGAACTCACCCTATGTGGTTTCAGTAGATGAAAGTAAGAGAGAGGAATTGTTCAACCCAAGAACAC